AGAGAGAGAGAGAGAGAGAGAGAGAGAGAGAGAGATTTCACCTTTTCTGCAAGAGCACTGGAGAATTCAGCCCTTAGAGCAGATTCTCTTACTTGTGCTTGACTGTTTGCACGGTCTTGAACATGTGCAGCTTTCTCAAGAGCATTTTTTGCTTCTCTAACAGCAACATCATATTTCCGTTTCCACTCCTCTGCCTCCTCTTGAGCTGAGTGAGCTTTCTCCTTAGCTGCAGCTAACCTTGCTTCAGCAGCAGAACTTTTGGACCTGAGCATTGTTATTTCTGCACTATCCTGCTCTTCCTTAGCCCTCTGCTTTGATGAAAGCTGCTCAAATTTCCTTTTCCAATCAAGAGATTCTTGCCTCGCTGTATCAAGTGTCTTTGATACGCTTGAGCATCTTTCTTCCAAAGAACTACATTTGCTCTGCAAATTGGTTATACGGCTCATATAATCGTCTGCAAGCTTCTTCTTGTCCTTGATAGCATCTTCATAGCGATTCAAATATTCCGACTTGTAATTCTCACTTGCTTCTAGTTGTTTGTTAAGCAAAGTCATTTTGTCTTCAATGGAACGGCATTTTAAAGCCAGAGAACTCTTTTCTGTTCCAATCTGATCTATTTGTTTCTTGATGAGGTCAAGAAGTGAACCTTCCAAGCTGGAGAGTGTGATATGTTAAATACTGCCACAGATATAAATCTATATGAAGTAAATAATTATGCAGACCTTTGTTGTAAAAATGTGACTACTTTCCGCCACTTTTCCGGTCCATGACAAGTGGCTTCATATTTCGACAAAAGCTCATCAAGAATCTGAAAGAACATTAGAGGTTACTTTCGTGTGCATTTACTTAAAGCATGTCCGGGAAGTGTTTATAAAAGGTTTGAATTGTAAATAGATAGAACGGACAGGAGGATAAATGAGTAATACTTGTGGGTGGCTTGAGTAAACAATTTAACAACATGAGCCAAACATAGGCTTACTCTTAAACTGGTGTCTCTTATAATTTATATATACACAAATTAAAAGAGTGACATTTCACAGGAGCAACACCCTGAAACGTAGGATTACCTTGAAAACACTATCTACTTTTGCACCAGGAGCTTGACAAGCTGATCTCAGCTCCTTTTCCATGTTAAGTATAGTGTTGGAACATTGCATATAAGCCTCTCTGAAAGCATCCTTCTTGATATCCTACAATCAAATCAATCCAAATCAATAATTGTACCGAGCACACAATAATTCAAATTTCAAGTACTGTAGTAGCTCCTATGGGGCTTTAAACACGATTGTCTTATTACAATGTGAGAATCCAAGAGCCATGCATTTGAACTAATTAATTCACAGGCCAAGATCAATGCCTGTTTGGCAAATTTATAAATCATATCTAGCCCTCGTTTGACATTCTTTAAAATTTTAATACATTTTTCTCTCTTCTTTTCAACCACACATTCTTCAATAAAATAATATTACACGTAAATCAAACAATTTTCCTTATTTTTTAACAACAAATTTCCTTATTTTTTACCAACACATTCTCCCAAAAAATACTATTCCATAATACATTTTACCAAAATTTCTCTTTGTAACGGGTGTCAAAACCAGGGCATAAAGAGGAATAGTAGTAGGTCCTACAAATGTGTGGATAATAAATTAGTTTTAGTGACAAAGGTGTGATTAAATTTAATATTTGACTTTAATTGATTTATACGGTTTATAAATAAGCAACTAAATGGAGGCTAAATGTTTTCCACAATGCAAATTCATGTCACTTTTAGATGATCTTCCGTTAACCAGTAATGTTTAAGATAAACAAAAATGTAAGCCTTATTTAGATCATAGACGTTTGACTCTTATAGAACAATCTAAACCACACCTCCAAAATAAACCTCAAGTACGAGGTACAATGGCAGAAATTTACTCCAAAGTTGCCAATTATAAAACAATTAAAGTGGTAATACCATGAACAGCAGTGATGCTCAAAGACTTGCAGCCAGAGTGGAGAAACAGAATTTTTCCTTCGTTTATTCAGAATTTTAACTTTTATTTCGACCAGTCTAATAGTCAGAGCAACATCATGAGAGCAATTCTCGTAAAGATAAAATGCAGCACTACAGACCTACTTACTTTAGTGGGAAAAAGGAGATACAGAAAAGAGAAAAGTAGAAGTTGATTATCAATAGAAATGTTTGCGCCCCGAATGCATGTTCAGATGATATATGCCAGGGAGAAAACAATATGGGAAAAGATGGAAGAAAATGATTACCTCAAATGCCTTCTTTAAGAAATGCTGGAAACGCTGTTCATACTTTTGCCTAATTGACCCAGTCCCTACAGCAGTAGCATTAAATGTAGCCACTGACTTCTGAACCGCAATTTCATGCGACTCTCTCAGTGCAGCCTGCAAGACTTCAAAATTAGAAACAAATCAAAATGTAAAAGCTACGGAAAAAAGAAAAACTTACTTCCTCTGGAGGTTTGGAACGGTCAAATGCAGACATGTAGACTTCGGTGGCCAATTCATATGCTCTGTGACACTCAGCTTCTTCAACACTCTAGAGAAGACAGCAATCAAAATGTAAAATTAAAGAGCATAAAAATAACTGCTATCGCACCAATATTTATTTGGACCAACTGTGATATATTTCCAACAAGAGTTAACTTTAAGCCAAATATAACTAATAACTAATTAACTCAACAGAAAATAATACAATGAGAATAAAACCATGTACAAGACCACATTCTGTAACAAAGAAATAAATCTAGAAGAGAGAGGTGAAAAAATGCACTCTCTGTCTTGAAGAAATTCAGAACTATTCAACTACATAAGTGGCTCTTAACTATCTGGTGTTTTACTCGTACGAAAAAATGAACTGTGGTTGTTCTAAAGACATCCTTCAAAACATATTGATTGTGTAAAAGCCTTGTGCTATGAAGGAACGTGTTGTTAACTGGAATTTCAACAGTTATAAAGGATAAAGAATACCATGACTCAAAGTTCAAAAACATATTCGTTAAAACTCCTGATACGCTTGCATTTCAGAAGATGACAAGAGGGCATGGATAGTATCAAAATTATATGCATTTAAATATAGTCAGTCTCAAATTATCAAACCTAAAATATTTCATATGAACAAATTTTTTTTAGATATTTAATTTTAACCATTATTTTACCAGCAAAACATTAATTCTGCCCAAGCTTTTCTTCATTGCATTTAAGAAGCATTTTGAAAAACCATGACAGTGACTACTTAGACCAGTATACAGGTATATTATAGATAACACACACTGGGGCAACTATGTAGGAGCATAACAGTATCCATCCCTTGCAACTATATGGATGCCAAATGTGACTTGTGATCATAAAGTGAACCACCGCCAAAATAATACAAATACTTTAACCTAAAAAAGACATTCAGTTTTAACAGTGGGAGAGAAGAAAATATATACCTGCCAGGAAGAGGTTATTGAGGGCACAGCACCATTATTAATGGCATCTAGGAATGACTGAATAATACGGGCAAAAATGGGCCCTGTCATCACTGTTGACCCTACTTGCTTGGGTCTTGTCCTCTCAAAAACAAATCTTGTTAAAGCATCTAAGCCGGATCTAAACTCGGGCCTTAATTTGTCCAACTGCATATAAAAGATGAATTAGAATAACCCTCAAAAAAGAGTAAGCCCTAGCGTGGGAGTGATTTTTGAAAATCATTTTTCTCCACTCATTTCAACCAAACATTCTCCAAAAAAAATAAAAATAAATAAAAAATCAATTTCATGTATTCCCATAACTTTTCACTACCTTTTAACAATACATTCTCCAAATAACTCACTTTTAAAAAAATCTCTCCCACAAGAGCACTAAGTAAAGAAGATTATTAATCATGTCTTAAGACATCACAGTCAAGAACTACTTACTGGAATCTGATCGAGTCGCTGGAGATCGTTTTCATTGCTCAGGGGCCGAACTAGCGGGAAGCACTCTCTATCTGGGAAAAGAGCTCGAATGGACTCTCGAATCTAGTCAATATTTTATCAGAAGTTAAGACATCACAAAAACCATTGACCTTTCATAAGACGAAGAAATGAGAGCTACAGCATTGGGCCATTGACAAGCTAGAGAAAATTATTCAATTGTAAAATGTGCGATTTGAAAGGAGTAACCGACTATCACACGATGTCTATGCAGATCAAATCGAAAATGGAATAAATGAAACCTCATTCTTGGAAGCTACATCCTTTCCGCCACCTTGAATTGGCCTCAGAGCAAGCTCTAGGTAGTCACGCGGGGTGATCTTGCGATTATCTTCAACCAAGTCCAAATAAAAATCCTGCGGGTATGTGTTCAAATATTAGGATATGCTCATAAATGACGACCAACTGCTAGTTGATTGAGATCCTAATAGACAAGAAAACAGTACAAGATCCAGTTAGGAAGGGGGGGAAATAGAGGAAGATTCATTTTCTTATTACCCTTAGAAGCCACACAAAAATGGGAGAGAATTGCCCAAGTTCTGAAGCTGTACTCCTTCCACCAGAGGCTCTGACACGAATGTGCTTAGTCATTTCAGTTACAAGAGAGAGGCGATCCAGTGCAGCCTCATCAATACCACCCATCTGAATTAGGCAAATAAATATCAGTAACCCTTTCAATAGCAATTGAAAAAAAAGAAAAGAAAGAAATGGGGTCTTGGACTATAAAGGTAGACAGCTTAAAATATATCCGGACTCCTAGAGAAACAAAAAAAGGCTTCATACAAAATCTTCCATACCTGATTGTAGATGAACATGCTTGATAAGAGGACTGCCAAAGAGAAAATTTGCATGCTATATGTTCCCTGTTAAAATACAGAAAGGAAAAAAGAAATTTGGGCACAAGAAGCGTAAGACAAGTGATATGTAAATATGGCAATGCAGTCCAAATATACTAGATTGTAACCGTAATTCATTCAATATTCAAGAACAAAGAACAATGCTAAACATTCCTGTTCAAATGTGGATGTATAGTGTATAGATGCAAAACATAGCCCAAAGAAGAAACAGGAGTAGAAATAATCAAAAGTGATCTAATATTTGAACAATACAAGAGTAACAAGAATATAAACCTATGTATTATATATGAAGAAAAAAGTGCATGAGGACAATATTTAAATAAACATCAATGTAGAAGATAGGAGTCTAACAGTTTGGTCATAAGCATCAATTCCTTCTGTGTCTAAGAGTAAAAGATTGTATTCTGTTCCATCAAGTGCAGTTCTTCTGAGAGGTGCACTCCACAACCAAAGACCTTTAGTACATGGACGATGTGTTGACGCCACTTGAAATCCACTATTCCGGCCAAGAAGCTGCAATGATAGATATAAGGGGAAGCTCATTTCAACTTGATATCTAAAAACAGATGTCCTTTAAATTTGGAAATAACAATATCCTAATTAAGAATGAAAAGTACTTGATATCTAAAAACAGATATCCTTTAAATTTGGAAATGACAATATCCTAATTAAGAATGAAAAGTACTTGATATCTAAAAACAGATGTCCTTTAAATTTGGAAATAACAATATCCTAATTAAGAATGAAAAGTTGGTGTATAATCCAAAAGACAACAGCATAACAATTAATGTGGTACTATTACCACTGCACGATACTACAAATTCAAATCACTGTCTACGTTCCCTCACAAGCAATGTCAACAATCCCTCACAACAAACAAGATCGATTTATTAAAAAATGACTGATGCTAAATAATCTACTTCAGAATAAATGGAGAAACATACAGCAAACCAAGAAAGCAGGAATGCCAACTGACGCCATCCCAAGTGTCCACATGCTACCAAAATAGTATCCAAGTTAAAAAACACATCTATCTTAATCCCAAAAGTTCACTCTCAGTAGAAGACAGCTATAAAAATTAACCGAAGACCAAGAAATCATTTCCAGGTTCAACATACATCATTGAATTATTGTGAATGTAAAACTATCCAGACTCTAGGATTCCTTCTACTGCAAACTCCAGGACAAACTTCTGCAGACGATGTAGAATACAAACTTCCATAGCATTTCAACAAAATACTTATTGTAGACTACAATTCCTGCCCCCTTCTACCACTCTCTCAACTTTTTAACTATTTTTTTGCTAGTTGGTTTGTACTGCGTAAACAATCCAATATCACTTGCGTCATTTGTATCCAGAACCACTTACCACTAACACCTTCATACTATACCAACATTGCACATGACCTGAGCAAACAATTTCCCAATGCCGAGTTCCAAAACAACCTCGTTCAGATTTCAGCAACCACAGGTAGATGTGACGCCAAATAACATTTTCTGTTCTATTACTCATCCGTTGATATATTGGTGCATATTTTAATAATACAAGTTCAATTATTATATTTTATTTATAGCCCCAATATATGAACATATAAGATGAAAAACAACGTGCCACTAGTTTATTCGACTGTACTTAAGCACTGTTCCCCTCAAGTAATTTATAAGGCTTGTCGCCATAGAACGAAACCTAATTCCGAAGTGACCCAACTTCGATAAAAAGTAATTACAAGAATCAACGTAAACTGAATTAAAAGAGTCAAAACTGACTTCTCAGATAATTACCGTAGTGACACAAAGCATCACAAAACCCTCGACTATCAATAAAACCTGAAAAAGACTCCAAATTTCTTAATATTAAAACATACCTGATTTAATATGAAGCTCTTGCCTTGGCGAGCACGGCCGCAGACGGAAACTACACCAACGGGTTCCTTGACGAGCTGAAGCACCGCGACCGCCTCCGGATCCAATTGAAACCGCCCTTTTTCATCACAGTATACGAGGCGAATCGGCCTCGCTGGCCCGGTAGTCATACTAGTCGCCGCTGAAACTGGAGTTTGCGGAGACGGAGAAATCGACGGCGTCGGCGTCTGCGGCGAATCACCTCTGCTAAAAAACTTCATCATATTTGTAGTGCGAATCGAGTATATCTATCAGGAGAAATCGACAGAGAAGCCAGTGGTGCGAAGTGCCCTGTTAGAGAGAGGATTTTTTTTTAAATGCTGGAGAGGGAAATGAATGAAAACAAAAGGTCTGTCAGAGAGGAGAAACGGGGTTTGATGGGATTTTTAGACCGCGTGGAGTGCGTGGTATCGGATTACTCTTTTGCACCTGCTCGTGGTGCCACTTTAGGAGATTATTTAACAAGTTGAAAAGGGTAGTTGAGGCATTTAGCCCTGATTTGTCTCCCTAAAACAA